TGCCGGCCTTGTGAGCCACTGCGTCCATCTCGCATCAGATAACTGATTGGCTCTGACAGTGGCTTGATGCTGGAGGTGGAGAAGAGGTCAACGGTTCAGCGCTTTTTCCTTACTATTTATAAACAGTCTGACGCGCTTGAAGCTATTACGGTTCGCTAAAAGCCAACTGATGAGATAATTCGGAAAGCGCGGGCAGCCAAGTGGGTGTTATGTGACATGGCTGACTGATAATCAGACTGCAATTACTGTTAGTGTAGCCCTTATGAAAGTCTCATTCAGCTGAGATCCGAGCCGTCCCAACTTTGCTATTGATTTGTGATTGTGATGGCTCATAGCGCGTGTTTCTGCGTCCTCTCCCATTTTCGGTCTACTTGACCTTGTTTTGACACCGGACCCAGATAAGAGAGAGTGAAGTAGATGCACCGAAAGTCTATTTTCACTGTAATCTAGCGAAAGTCACCATTTCTGCCCCATCCTGCTGTGGAGCACACGATGGACACCGTCGAAATCGATGGTCGAACTGTCATAGGCAACATGAATAAATCGACGGACACAATGTATTATGAATGAAAATATAACGATTACGAAAAATTTCACAATTGGAAACTGTTTTAAAACTGAAAGATACATTTTATTTAAGTATAAAGTTTGGAGAAGGCCTGATTTGCTAAAACGGGTTCAAGACAGAATATTTTTGGGTATTTTTTCTGTAAAATATACCTAAATGTATAATGGCATTGGAAATCAATAAGGAAAATGTGTAGTATATAAGTAGCCATTTTACGGAGTAAGATTTTTGCAGGCTTTTAAAAAGAGGTCTGGCGTGACGTGGGATGACGTTGCACGGCATTTCAGAATTTCAGTTTACATTTTACGAGATAGGAAATCTACTGTAGATAAGGTGGACGGAAAACTTGAGTGGCGCCTGTGGGTTATTTCGCTTAGTGACTCATTCAGACTAACAGACCCCAGTTAAATCTTCGTAGGAAAGTCAGAGATCTATGACCCTTTTCCTTGCTCACAGTGAATGGAGACATTGTTGCCAAAAATCTTGGATATTACGTTCAAAGTAAAAAAATATTTCTCGCTCTCTCTCTAAAAAGATCATCCGATTCTCGTGAAGGACAGCAGACGTGAAATAAAAAAGAGGAGTCTAGAGTTGTAAGGACAAAGAGGGGTAAAAGTTAAAGCGAACAAACAAACAAGCGCGGTTTTTTCACCGAAATTCATAAAAAGTTCGAGTAACATACCTTTATAGGATCTACTATGCCAGTGCCATCCTTGCCGAGCCCCGTAGCTGGAGTCCAGCCCATTTTCTTTAATAACTGTTGGCCTATGTTGCTTTCGTCGTTTGCAATGGAAGCGCCAGCAGTGGTGAGGACGTAAGAGGAGTGCTTCTTAGGATTTATAAAGGCCATGATTGTGGGAGGCAGACTACTACCGATCCTATAGTCACTGCAACCTAAAATCGGGGAGCAGAGAGGGGATGAATTAAGGTTCAGTTTAGGGGAACAGGAAATAACTGACAAAAATATTTAAATGAGACGGAAGTGGCGGGTCCACCATAAAATTCCTTAGAGAAGAAGAAGAAGACAAATCGTTAGGGTAAGAACTTTATTCTCCTGACGTTTCGGATTTAAACTCGAAACCATCCTCAGATATAGCATTAGATATGGGTAATTCATACAGAGAGTTGCAGTATTTATAGGATATAGTTGCTCCACTACTGCCAATCGATGACAGTTGATGGCTACCCTGGTGAGTTAGTGACTTGGTGGCTGGTATGTGGATCGTTATCTGCTGAAATATCATCAGCTGTGTTGGAGAGAGGCGGGATGAGTGTTCGGACACCAGGCTCACCTGCGCGCTCCCCACATGGCTGGTTGCTTTGGCCAAACCAAATCGCAGCACCGAATATGGGTTAGGAAGGTCATTGCACTACGGGGCCCCGTAAACTACGACTTAAGTATCTCACGGCTCAAGCGATTTTCACCTGTCGCGGGAATTTCGACCTAATCAAACTTTAATGTGCAGCCGGGTCTCGTCGAATGAGCCGCGATTCTGTTGCATGTTCGACACTTCGTGTCCGGAGGAGTCTTCCAGTTTCTCCGAGGTATTTGCATTGCCTGCAACGGCACCACATCTAATTGACGACTCCAGATGTTCCTTGCCGTGGCAGTGAGTCCCTTGGTCTAGAGAAGTGCCAACATTTCTGGCTCATCAGTCGTCT